CCACGGAGATGGAATTCTTGCAGTGCGCGATGGCGGCCTCGATGGCGCTCTGCAGATCCTCCATGGTGCTCTCCTCCGACGACGTGGACACCTTCACCGACCGGCCAACGGAGAGGTGACCGCTGTTGGCCGGCGACACCCGCAGCGACGCCGGCGCGGACGACAGCTGCCCGCGCCGCCGCCTCCACCGCTCCCGCTCCCTCGTCTCCCTGGCGGCGCCCGGACCGTGGCCCGAGAACGAGTGCGGCCGGCGCCGCTGCTCGCGCCTCTCCCTCTCCGACTGATGCCGGGAGAAGGAGGCGCGAAGCTGCTCCACCATGGACGCCATGTGTCGCTTCACCCACTGGCCCACGTCCAGCACCCTCTGCTTGGCCCGATCCTTCCTCTTCTCCTCGGCCTGCTGCTGCTTCCCGGCGACCACGTCGCTGCTGCTGCTCTCCTTCCTCCACGCGCCGCCAAGGCTGGAGAAGAAAGGCGAGGCCTTGTTCTTGGCCCTACTATCCCTGTCCCTGTCCTTGCTGCTAGTAGTGATGCCGTTGCTCGTGGTGGCGTGGTGATGGCTCGCTCTGGCGTGGCTGAGGTCGCTGCCGACGCGGTCGACGGGGGTCCGGGACATGGAGAGCGGGTGCAGGTGGCCGCCGAAGGGAGAGGGGAAGGAGAAGTCGTGGGAGGGGGAGGTGGTGGCGGAGGAGATGATGGGCGGCGGTGGGGGAGGGGACGAAGGTGGGTTTGGCTTGGACAGTAGTTGAGGTGGACGTGCGCGTGACGACTGCGGTGTGTCCATGGCTTTGAGCGCCGCGGTAGGGTTAGCTTCCGCGCCCACGCGCGTACGTGTGGGTGACAATGTTAGGTGGACAGCTGGTGTGGGGGAGGGGGATGCATGGCGAGCGAGAGCTATCGGAGGAGACGAGAGGACGCTGGGGTGATTAGCAAGGAGGAGGACACGGCCGGAGAGGGTTTAACCTGCTCTTTGCTATGTGAATTTGGGACGGCGTAGAAGATGATAAGCACGCTGCGAAGAAGAAGAAGAACTGGGGTGATGTCGCCAGAAATATACTATATAAAGAAGGAAAACGTGGGATTGAACTGACAGGTTGATATGTTGATCGGAGGAAGAACAGTAAAACGGCTGATGCAACGTAATAAACCAACCCTGTTGAGATAACATGTCACCTGATTAAGTTGATGATAAGAAGCATCTATCATTAATACCACTCACACTCAAAGAACTGTAGTTTTACAGAAGATAACCTTAGCTGTACTAGTTGATTTGAATCTGAGATCATAACATGTCGAAGTACAAATGGTTCAGCAGTTGGCCAACCTTCTCATTTTTTATATGTATCCCGATCGAGCTTATAGTAAGGTACCCACCCATCATCAGTCTAGCAGACTTAGCAGCTGAGAATTGGACTTCCATCAGCCCTGAACTAGTATAGTCAACCCGGTGGATGACACGCAATTATTTCGTGATAAGCCCAAATGGACCGCACACTAATTGTGATATAGCTCGATCATCGACTGACGTGTACCTGTATCCGTAGCTCCCATGATATGATGCCGTGTCCCCAGCAGCTCGCTCTCGCTAGTGCATTTCTGACGGCAGCGGCGTGAGCCCTCACGGCTCACACGCGCACGCAGCAGGGCCCTTGCTTGCCCGCCCGCGCGCCATTAGAGGCGCGGGGGTGTCGCTGTACATCACTTAATCAGCAGCGACTCCGATCCGTCGTCATCTGCACAGCTGCTGCCGGTGCCGATCGAGCTCGATAAGGACACACGGACCAACCTGGCGTACGCCCCCCTGATGACTCGGACATGTATACATACAGCTGGTCCAGGAATGATCCAAGGAAACATGCAACATGCGTGCTGTGCTGCCCACTGCTGCTGCTGCTGCGTATAATCTGCCAATCCGGTCGAGCTGAAGAGAGGCACGGTTACGGCATCCAGATGAAGAGATGTTTCGTCGAACTGGAGAAATGAAGATTCAGAGAGAGAGAGAGAGAGAGAGAGAGAGAGAGAGGAACTCATTTAAATCTGAGAAGGATGTGATGACCCAGGGACTACGTCCAATTGATGAATGGGCCCTTCACCCTTTTGTGCTCTTCCGTCGTCGTGTCTTATCATGTTTCTTGATTTCTCTAATCCCTGTGAGCAATAATCCTAATTATGACATTTCGCTCGCAGACATAACCAGCATCACCAAGAAAAAGCAGTGTCGTACTACTGTCGTTTCTAATGTTCATATCAATGGCACGGGCGCACGGCTCACCCTCTGTTCTAAATTATAAAATATTTAATAGATATATAGTTTGTATTATGTATTTGCATATATATTATGTGTAGATACATAGTAAATTGACATATCTAGATAAAAGTCAAAACGTCTTATCCGTGCGGTGCTGGCGCCGTCGATTTTTCTCCTTCTAGTTCAGCTCAAATCAGGTCTTCCATGTTTCGATCTAGGCTCGTGGCCTTTCGCGCCACAACATCTTTGGTCGATGTCTCTCTTGGGTTCCCTTCACGGGTCTCTTTCAAAGGTTGCGTGAGCCTGACCTCAAGGGTGGTTCCAAGTTGTAAGTGCTTTGGGGTGTGCCTCGCCAGTTCAAGGGTCCATAGCAGCGACCTGACTATGTGTAAAAGCAACTGTAGGGTTTTAGGATCTATTGGTTTGGCAGTCTTTCTTGCTAGATCTGTCATTAGACCTCTTCTGTTTGGAGCCTAAATAATGGTGGTCTTGGTGGTCCCAGTGGCTAGTGGGCGGTAGTGGTAGGAATGGTGGTGGCTTTTACATTTGTTCATTGCCCATCCTCGACGTCGGTGACACCACCACTCTCTCCTTGTTGGAGGCATCACCCACCTCCAAAAATGACATAAAAATCTAAGTTATGATACAATATTTTTCTCTCATAATAAAACAGCATATGCCGGTTTATCAGCCGCAGAAACCATCAGCCGAACAGGCTCTTGTGCCTATGTTCTGCCGAGATGATTGTTTCTCATTGTCAAATTTTATAATACAACTGCTCTATGTTAAAACTGGTGGAGTGGATCAAAGTAAGCACCACACTCTCTCCCTCCTACATATACACCTTGTCGAACTCGGCTAGTAAACGGCCTAACATTGTTAGATCTGTTTGGGTCGCAAATCACAACCAGAGCTTTTTGGGTTCTGTTCTTCTTATGGTGGGTTAGCTTTTTCAGTTGATTATTTCCTATCACCACACCTATAAGTATATATATATCTTTGCTACACATTTCCTCATTGCCCACTTGTCATAGACACGTAAAGTCGCCTAGTTCTGTTCCCCTAATCTCTAGCCACGGCAATGGAATCATGTGGCTCGCCACATCAAAAGTTCCAAACACAGCAGTCGAATGCCATATCCGTCTGATCGAGGTACAGTTGGCCGTACGCAAAAGTCTCCATGGATGCTAACAAGTCCAGAATCCAAACCTGACGTCTGACGACAGGGCATATGGCCGGCGGACGGCAGCGGCAAAGCTCTTCGCTCCCACGCCGGCGTCCCCATTCCAAACAAGCGGAGCGATCGGCACGTGGCCGCGCGCGGGGTCTCGGGAGTGGACAAGCAGGACATGACTCAGCACCAATCGATCGCCATCCCTATCCGTCCCGCGTCGCGTTCAGAGTTTAGAAGCGATCGAGGCCACGGCTACGGCAACGGTCGCGCAGGGCTGGTTTGGTGGCCGCGCCTGGGCTTACAGGCAGGTAGTTAGCATTTTTCTGACGTGGAGGGAAGAAGAGAGGAGAAAGAAGAGAGCTTTGCTCTTATTCTAGCAGTAAGTTGGGTATGGAAGCATAGATATTTGTGGACCTAAACTACAGTGTACGTGTATAACTGGACTCTTATAACTTGACTTATAACCAAACACTTGGCTTTATTATTGACCTTGCTCTAAATCAATTAGTCGGTTAAGCATAGCGGTCAGGTGGCGCGTGCAGATCCCACATCCCACCAGTGGTGAGCTGTAGTCCGGCGGGAGCAGTGGCGCGCTGGCATGATGCAGCCGTGCTGCAGGTGCGATGAGCAGTCCTCGCGTCGTCGCTCTCCCGGCCCGGGGCCGGGGCTTCCGTCACCGGCATGTTCCTCCGCGCGCTCCGCCTCCGGAGGAGACAAACCGGTCCGGAGACGGAGGTGCCAAATGACACAGTGCATGGGGAGAGCGATCCCCGCAACAGCCAGAGATTCCCTTCCCTGATTTTGTCACTGGATTTAATTAGAAAATGTGCAGGGCGAACACTGGTGCGCCACAGTGCGCAAATAAATGGCTTTGGCTGGCCGTTTGGCGCAAGCGCGCGTCAATATGGACGCATATGGATGGGCAGGAGCGCGTAGACACGGTCCATGCTAAGGGTGGATGATAGTTACATTACATGATGAGCAGCACAGACGATAGAGATTAGTTGTTTATATCCCATACTATATATATGTACGCTGGAATGGGTCCGACGTGCAGAAATTATATTGAATAATATCCCAGTGATTGACAGTGGATGTTTAGCAACAACGGGCACGGCAATTCAAGTGTCATCGATCGACCTCTCTGAGCACTAACAATATCACCAGCGAATCCCCAATAAGAATTTTGTGAAGCTAAACATTTTTTCTCGGTCGTCGTCAGTGAACTGGGACCTCCAACAGATTACAAGAAGACCAATGATCATTTAGACCTCTATACAAGTAAAACAACCTCTGTAGAGTCTGTACACTGAAATGCGTAGATGCGGCTTTCAGCTGAGCTGAACCTCTGAACACAACCGTAGTCCTTTGAAAAAATAAGATGGGCTTTGCTAATTCCTATGCTACTCCAACTGATGAATAAATCTCCAGGCTGTTTGTCAAGAATACTCTGTGTTACTCGACTGAAACGGCCAATTCTAGCCAATGAATTGTTATGGGCTGACTATTGTTTCCAGCTACGAATGAATAAAAGAATCTTTAGTGGTATGAAAGAGTGGCTCCGGGAATTAGGCAGGCCTAGCACATGTGACCGAAGACATTTCTTGAAGATCCTGAAGACAAATAGGAAACCAAAAACGAATTAGCGGTCTAAAGGTTAGTTACAGAATGTAGTTCAGGTATATACCAATTATATTATAATGATACCTCTTGACAGGCGTTTCCCTTCCATTGCTTCTTTCTTTTCATGACAGCTCAGGCACAGGAAAGGACCCTGCCAACCTTGTAGTTTTTCATGTTGCAATGGGTTAGCATGCACTGAAATTCCCTCTCCAGATTTCAACCGTACCAGACAAACTGCACAACTGGAGGCTGCAAAAATTTTATCTAGTGTATATCCGGTAGTTAGCCTGCAGGTAGTGAATGAATCCTTGACGTTAATGACCAGGGATTTGCTAGCTTCTCATGTTGAGTGCAACTTCTAATGTTGCAAAATATCTGTTGACTATCCTGAAACTACTTAACATATTACTTCAAACTCATACAAGAATCAAATTAATCAAAAGGTTGCAAGGTGAGCTTCAGTGCTATATACAGTGAAAGCAAAGCTGGAAACATCGAGATTTCAACTTCTTTATTTTGTCAGTATAAGTGGTAAATAATTTAATTACATTATCTGAAATTAGTATGTATTGATGGTTTGAGGACAGCACCATGTACAATAATCAGAAGAAAGAAGAGGATCCAAGGTTGTAGGTGTCGGGGAAGGATTCAGCAGATGAGCAGACAATCCTGACCATTAGCATATATGGAAACAAAAATGGCTGTGGCTGATACCATCAAGCAGCATGCCAACTCATTTTCTGTATCCAATAATTACTAGTACAAGTCCTAAGATCCTTTAGCAGACAGCAAGATCTGACAATCTAATGGAGTACCATAGTAATTGTACCAGTCACCAGCTGAGTGTGCATAAGCTAAATATGTCTCTTTCATTGCCATAAACATAAGGACGCAATCATAGTAACCAGATCTACTCTACATTGATGTAGTGGTACACATAAGGACATCTCCATCAAAATTTATATTGATGCTTAGCACTCCAATGATTTCAAGTTGACATTTCTAATTATCCAGCCTTTCAAAACACAAGGATAACTCTACTATATTTTTATGCAATGTTATTACTTTTTTATAGCTATATATACATGAGGTCAAACTACAATACAAGTGAAAAGGTGAAACAGAAAATTGTTAAGCTCGTTATATATTACCTTTTAGAAAGCATCGGAGAGCCATCTTCAAATATTTCTTCCACCACATCCGGTTCAGCATATTCTGATCTATTTGTTTTGAAGGGAACATCTAGAGATCTTCTGCGAAACATATTGTTGAATGCAATCCTGCCGGATCTCTTAGGAGGACTCGGGGCTATATTTTCTGGTGGTAGAATGTCAATTACGATGCAAGTAGTATCATCCCTGATTCCTCGAGGCCGGGTTGCTTCCTGAAGAAAAAAATAACGAACCAAGCATCACAGATTGTTGAGATTAATCAAAGAAATAATATGACTTTTAAGGAAAATGCATGTGAGTTAATTACATTAACAATTCGATGGGCAGCTACATCTGATGAGAACCCACGGGAACAGTCAAGAGCCATTTCACAAGTCAAATCATCCCATACACCATCGCTTGCAATGATAATTCTGCCTCCAGCATTAGAAAGCTGATACATAAAGAACAACATCACAGGGGTCATGAATAGTGGTCATGATTAAATTCACGATTCTAGAACTAAAAAATTGCTGTTTAATTATATACATGACATGATGACGCCATCTTGAAGGGGAGACTTAATAATTTGGTATCTAACCGTGAATGGACATATATAATGGCACATGCAATGTTTGGAAGCTGTAGGTGTAGAGCAGAATTTTCAGGTGAACAAACCTTCACTTGCTTAACATGAGGGACAGCAATGATGCATTCACCAACATCAAGATCCCCTATGGATCTAGATAAACACAAGCCACCTGGCCAACATCTTAGAGGACCAACCTGAAATGTCAAAAGGGTAAACCTATTTACTCCAATGTACTTTATATAATATACAAACAAAACAAGGAGACCAAACTATACCAGGAGGGCAATAAAATGGATTAAACACAAATGATAATTGCATTAGAGACAGATGAATTTGCAGTGTCTGAAATAAGATAAAGGTTGCTCACTTGCACTAATTAAAGTCACAGATTGAAACTATAGTGAGTCAAAAAAAAAAGATTGAAGCTATAGTACAGTATTTTTTCAAACGAAAAACAGAATTAATACTTTGGGTCAAGCAATTAGCAAATACCAAAGAGAGTGGCAGTCATATCACGAAATAAACAAAAATATTGAAATGGTTCGGTGCAAAATATAAACTACCATAGGACTGAAACACACTGCACAAGCTTTTAATTTCTACCATAATTTAAGATACCATTTGGTGTACACTTGAACACAGCAAATTCATTAATATAATCATGGAGTTACAGTTAACTGCTGAAATTGGGAATCATCACCATGGTAGGTTATACGCCAAACATACACAAAAATCCATTCAGGAGCACACATGGTTAAGGGTGAGACAGAGACAAACCTCTGGACCACCGACAATGTCCATTTTCCCAACTTTGCTCCCACATGCTGTCACGCGCTTGACCCTGAAAATTAGGAAGATTATAAACATCGAACAATTCTTAATAATAAATACATAACATTAGGAGCAAAACTTACTCATCTGGGTTGGAGTCAAAGCGATGATCAGCTGATAAAAAGTAGATTGAGCCATCGGCAGATTCTAGTATGCAACGTGAATCACCGACAGATGCTACAGTCACAACCCACTCGTCTATTATCACAAATGTCACAGTTGTGCCAGAAGTTTCAGCTGAAATAGTAAAGAAAATGTCTCAGAAACATTTGAAAAAGGAAAATCAGTTACCATAGGGAATTCTGGACTATAAACAAAGCTCTCATATGTTCTATTCCCACGGGAAAAGAGAAACTGACAAATAGTACACTTGCGCATTGCATAGGCTTTATTGAGAAAGAAAGAAAGAAATCATGTGTCTGCCTAAGCAATATATGCCTTTTTAATTAAGGACTAAATAATTCTATGAAACATGCCTTTAGTATTATTAAATACACTAAGCTGAACATACCATGTTCGCTTATGCTGAAATTTAGCTTATGCTGATGCTTATACTGAAATATTGGCTCAAGCCAACAGGGGACTTACTTACCCACTGCCTGGAAATCTTTATCGGTCTTGACGAACGCTGCAACAAGCGCACGTGGGAGCACGGCAAGCCACTCCTCTCTGCAGAAACATGTAGGAATGGCACGCAAGACGTTGTTCAACAGATTCTCCCTTGCGTATATGGCAGCTCCTGATCCGTTGTGCCCATCGAAAAGCTATCAATCAACAAAGCACAATTGGCAATGGCTATCAGAAGAAGAAAAATACAGTCATCAGCGGTGTACCATCATCAAGCTATCGCCAAAACAGAGCAAGAGAGAAATCTGATATGTTTTTTCATAACATCACATAATTAAGATACGATGCTTAGGATCAAATCAAAGGTAAAAAAAGTTTTAACAGTAGTCATGCTTCCATCATGCATGCACTGGCCTATGCGCACACAGGGGGAAAAAAACGCAACAACTATTTCTCTCTTTCTTGATGACTAAAAAGACGAATAAACTCTGCCAACCAGAAAAGGCGAAAAGCAAGCGCGTAGTGGCGGCCACGTAAAAGGCGGATGCCCAAAACCCCACGACCGACTCCACTCCAGTAGGCGAGGACGCGATCTCTACTTCCCAGAATCTGCTGGACATGGACAGAGAGCAATGTGGGTTACCGCGAAGACGGAGAAGGAGGTGGAGGGGTCCCCGGGGATGCGCTGGCCGGCGTCGGCTCGGAGCAGCGTGAAGTCCTCGCCCTTGCGGCTGCGGTTGGCCTCCCCGCACAGCACGTCCGGCCGCTCCATCCGCTCCTTGGTCACCTCCCGCCGCAGCAGCACTCCCAAAGGCACCGTCCCCGGCGACAACGCCGCCGGCGCCGCCGCCATCGCCATCGGTCGCGGGGGCTTCCCTCTCAAAACCCTCGGCCCTCGTCCTCAGATGACCCGGGGCCGGGAGGACTCTGCTTTCAGACGGCTAGCGACTCCCTGCCGCGGCGTACGCAAGCGCCCCCTGAGAATGAAGAAGAGATCACGCAGCGAAAAAGGTCCCCGCGGGTTACGGTGTAGCGGGAGGGAGTACGCGATCGTGGTCGCCACGCGGTGCGTGAGCCAAACCACCAGCTTGATTGGGAGAGACGACGAGGTCAGGGTGTTTTTGAGGACTTTTGTTGGAGGGCAAAAAGGAGAGATCGCTCGATCGGCGCAGCCGTTCCGATTTTATCGGCACGGCCACGCAATGCAGTTTGGATTCGATTCGAAACGGCTCGTTTGCGTGGTCGCTTCCGACTCCGTTTCCCTCTCTCGCGCTCGGTGGCCGTCCGCCCCTACACGTGCCAGGTAAATTTCCAATTGAAAAGGCCTCTGGGCTGGGGCTGCGTCTGAGAACCCGAGAAGGCCGGCTTTGTTCATGGCTGCTACGCCCAGGTCGTGTTTGACGGGGTCAGGCGTACGCGGACGTAGCAGGTGGCTGCCTTGTCTTGCGCCCGTCAGGTGGATGTGGTTGTGGAGCACGTTCCGAAACGCGACCAATTTGAAATTGAACCTTTGATCCCAGGTGGGTATGGGCTGGTGTGCATTGTGAGGCGTTAAAAAAATGCAACAAGGCCCCGTCTCCGTTCTGAGGAAGCTAAGTCCAAGAACGGCGGCCAGGCCCATTGCCGTCCAGCGCGCGCGCGGCAGCCGCACGTGTGCCGGCGGATCTGCCGCGACCCGCGCCGTGTACATTGCTCGTGTGTGTGTGTTTAAAAAAAAACTTAATTTAAGTTGTCTAAGAGGCACAACCTAAATATGAGCATCTTCTCCCCTAAAAACTCATTTGCAGAAAGAATTTTCTTTTGGATCTTGTTATTGGAGAAAATGTTGAATGAGTATTGAATCATTCCCAAAGATCAAATGAGTTAATATTTTGGGTGTTATTGTTGGAGATAGTCTAAGTCGTTCATGATTTGACTAACGACTTGTAGTCTAATTTCGGGACGATTGATGTTTTTTTTTTGATAGAACAGGAGGGGTCGAGACCCCTACTGAAATTATTATTGAAACAAAGATCCGAAAGAAGTTACAAAGACACAGGAGAAAGGGGACGATCGATGTTGCGTGATAGACATTCAGTTCGTTAGTTGGACTACCAGCTGCTGCTTTTTGGGAAACCAATTGTGGATGAGCTTCCTGATTATATGGTTGTTAATCGAGTGATGATGAGCAAGAGCGAAGGCTGATTAGCTGCAAGCCTGTAGCGGATCGGAGGTTCATTAATGTTGAAGTCCATGGTTACTTTTGGTGTACATCAAAATGAAATAGGATCACACAAATTATATGGATCCAATCATCCAATGCTCTTCCTTCCAGAAGGTAATATTCTAAAAGAATATAATCACAGCCCTTAATTTTCAAATAAAGGGACTTCTAGAATCTCAACGTCACTCGCGCTAATGAATATTTTTTCTCCTCCTTACTTGTTTGCACTAACGTGATCAGGTAATTAAATCCCCTCCGATCCTTGTTTGGTCCGCATGATGAGCGTACATCACGAGAAGTCACGATGAGCAATTGAGCATACACAAGTCTGCACGTGGATAAATACTTTTTGAGTATACTAAAGAAAGAATATGACAACAGTGTACAGAGTTAATTTCATTCCAACTTCCGAAACTGTGAAGAACTGTGCACCTGTCATGATAGGGTTCTATGCATCTTTTTTTCTAAAGTTTGTTATGTACTCACTCCGTCCCAAATTATAAGCGCTTTGATTTGATTTTTTGGTACATCAATTTTGTTATGTATCTAAATATATAATGTATGTTTAGATACATAGCAAATCTATGTAAAAAAAAGTCAAAATGACTTAGTATAATTTAGAACGGAAGGAGTATATATGACAAAACGGTTGTATGTGCATGTTATTTTTCAAAAAAATAGTTGTCACACCTCACACGAGTTCTTCTTTCACGTTAAAAAAATCATTCCGGATAGCATTAATTAGTTTTTTTTCATATGCAAAATGTAACAAACAAATCACGTTTGGTGTCTTTTACAAAATAAACTTGTTAGAAGAAAGACACTTCAGATTTTATCCACATGTCATGTTAGCAAATTTAGATCAAATACATATATTAGATCTAAGAAGAAGATCCTTTTTTCTTATTTCTTCTATTACCGTCTAGGAGGTAATGTGTGCTAGATGATGATATCCAGCTCAATAGTCCATGGTTAGTTTAGAGTACCGTATAGCAAAGCCCATAGTCACTGCTACACAAAACTTTACCGCGGCGAGTAAAAATGCTTAACCGAGGCGGTTTTTACAACCGCCTCGAACGAAAGGTCACGGTTAATCATGGTCTTAACCGAGGCGGTTGCCCTACCCGCCTCGGTTAAACGAATAAAAAAATAATAATAAAAGAAAACCCGTGGATAAGCCCGCTGAGCCCATCCACGGGCCCGCCGAGCCCATCCACACGCCGCCGCGGCCGCAGCTCGCCGGATCTACACGCCGTCGCAGCCGCTCGTCGGATCTGGGCACCCTCTTGCAGGGGAAGGGAGGGGGAGGGCGGATCCGCCTCTAGGGAGCTGCTGTAGGGCCCTCGCCGCCGAATCCGCCGGGCCCTCGTCGTCGATCTGCGAGGAAGGGTGAGGACGGATCCGCCCTAGATCTAAGAGGAGAGAGAGTGAGGGGCATACCTCGTCATCGATCTGCACCGCCGCTGTCCGCTCGCCGGAGGGAGAGGGAGCCCGCGCCCGCGTGCCTAGCCACCACCACCGCGCGCTCGCGACCTAGCCGCCACCACCGCGCCCTGCCCCGCGCGAGGCCGCGCCTCCACCACCCTGCGCCGCCCGCGCGAGGCCACCTCCGCCCCGTGCGCGCCACCGGAGGGCGCTAGGAGGGGAAGGGGGTGCCGGGAGGGGAGGGAGCACGTCAGGCGTCGGGAGTGAGGAAGAGAGAGGGAGACCGGAGAGACAAGAAAGGAGCGCGTCGGGCGTCGAGAGCGAGGAGCGCAGCGCGTCGGCTGAGGAGGGAGGTGGGAGGAGGGAACTGAGGGTGAAAAACCTAAAGTCTGATATATATATATATATATATATATATATATGTGTGTGTGTGTGTGTCGTGCGCGCGCGTGCGTGCCGCCTTTTGGGCTAGTGGGCTGGACCTGATTTACCGAGGCGGGCTTTATAATGTGATCGCCTCGGTTAATGTATTAACCGAGGCGGTTGCGTTAGAAAAATTGCCTCGATTAATAAAACCGAGGCGGTCGTGTTAGGTTGTCCGCCTCGGTAAATCGATTTTGCGAGACGATGGACTATGACCGTCTCGATTAATAAAGAAATGACCACGAGACGGTTTTAAATCCCACCCGCCTCAAAGCCCAATTTCAAAACGTCTCGTAAAATCTTTGCTATAGTAGCGAGTCAAACCATCAAATCAAAGAAAGATGCTACTGTTTGGCAGCTGTTGTGTGCTCTGCTGGCAGAAGCTACCTGTGACTTTTTTTCGATATAATAAGTATCTGTATTACCAGATAAGCAAAACATACAAAGGCGCATACAAATACACGACAAACTTGCACGGAAGGCCCTAAAGATAACAAAAATAACAAAAAAGCCTCTAGCCACCGTGCAAACTATACACGCCAGAGAACTCCACCGCCGGCCGTCGCCATCGCAAAAAGTTTCCAAACCATCCCGGATCTGAAGAAGGCCCATCGCAAAGAAGCTTTGAAACGAGTCGCAGTAGACACCCATCTCCATGGATGGGCTTAAGCCAACGCTAAAGATGTATCGGCCGGGGATGCACCCCGAGCTCCTCAGACCATGGATCAAAACTCGCCATCGACAGTTGCCGAGGGAAGCTCGAGCTCGATCGCAACGCCCACAACCATCGCTGCATCCTTGACGTAGAGCGCCGGCGGCACCGCCGCCTCTCCGAGACGACGAGACGTCAAACTACGCGGACTCCTTATTCCAGTGTCACTTGCGACAGCAACAACGCATACAAAGCTAGCATCCCCAGGGATGCAGTAGTGCCTCATGCCATCGTCGTCCGCCAAAGTCGGGGAAGCCGTCGAGGATGTCGAAGAAGGTCTCGCCGAAGCGAGGCTCAACAGCTTCATCCTCGAATCCAAGACGTCGCTCGCCGGAGACGCAGCAACAGAGGAAAGAGGATCCACGCCGTACCAACAACTTGGATAAGACGAACCCTAACCTACCTAGACGAAGCCTAGTATAGTGGGATATGTACACCGGCCGCCGAATCCGCCGGTCCCCCCACACTCCGGCACCGACGAGACCACCGGAGGCGGAAAGGACCCGGCAAATTCGACGCCAAACAATGAGTCGCCTCCAGCGGCGGATCCAGAAAATATTTTAGGGGGGGCTGAACAACACTGCTGCTCGATCTTAAGTCTCAGCCCCCCCCTACACTATAGAACTTTGTCTAAAAATTCATAGGGACTCTACAGTAATTTGCACTGTTTCGGGATGGGTAGGGGGGCTTGAGCCCCCGCCCCTTCTTTGGATCCGAGTTCGCTTTTTTACTGTAGATGGGGAGACCTATCGAGAGACAGACAGAGAGCCACCACCCGACTACCTGAGATGCTGGTGAGCTAGCACCTTGGTGATGAGCGATTGACAACACGGTGTGCGTGTGATGTGTCTCTCGGTAGGTTGTGGTTGTAGGTGACAGGTGGAGACAAGGTACATGCGGCTGACGAGTGAAGAACGAGGATAGGATGCCGTGTCAAGAACCGTGGGGGCGGAGAAGGGCGGATCGAGGCTTGCGTTCGAGGGACAAAGCGATCGTGTGGTGTCGTCATCTCATGCGTACTGGCTACACGGTGGGAGGATGTCGAGGGAGGTTTCAGATTACGCCACAAAATCCGGGGTTCATTTGGTTGAGCCAC